ACTACCTCCAGAGTAATGGATGTTTCATATCTTTCATAAATGCTAACTTCCATTTGTACAGTAATTTCAGTTGGAAGTCCTCAGTTAGGAGCTTTAGAAACCACTAATGAGCTGGGCTGTAAAACACCCTTATGTAAATATAATTAACTGCATGATGGCAAGTCTTATGCACAGAGAGACTCTGTAATTGGAATAGGAAGAGAATCTAGCCTGGCTGACACCTGTAGTTTAACTGCAGAGCCATCTTTTTCCTATGAATTAGGGAATTTAAATCATGATTTATCTCTAGCTCTTGTTGTATACTGTCAGCATCCAGTGAAAGAGGAAGTTAATGGATACCTTGCATTTATGAGACAGGAGAAAAAAAAATGGAGCCTTGGGAGGGATATCTGTCTTGTCCCACATGCTCTTAGAAGGTTTTTATTGAGGCATGAAAGGTTGTGTTGTTTCATTCTTTGTCTTTTTGTTCCTTATCCAGGCACTGATGTGCTGCCAACAATTCTATGAAGGAATTTCTCCTATGTCCTATTAAGTGATCTTAAACCTCTTGTATATGCTATGTGGGTACTCACAAAAGAGAAGGGAAAGAGAATTTAAGAATTAAGTCTTTTCCCCCTTAAAGACTGAAACAGCATCTAGTAAGAGAGATGGTGACACTAAAGAGGCAGATTTACTTGAATTGTGCTTGCCAGACATACATTAGTGTGGAAAAAGAGAAAGGTAGAAAAGAAAAAGTGAGTTTGTTAATGCTCAAAGTGTAATTTTCAACTATGTCTTTGGCAGTGGGACAGGGAAAACCAAATTCTCTAATAACTTTGGAAATGTCTGTTATGTGAGTGCTTTTCCCTAAATACTTTATATATTTTGGGCGATTTACTTGAGTTTGTATATGTGTGAACTTCAGTGAGTGATGTCAGAAGAGAAAGGGATAATTTGTTACTGTGACTGGAGGACAGAATAAATGAGATGGTAATATTACCTCCAAAGACCACTTTTCAGTTTGGTTTAACAATTTGAATGATTTCTACTCTCTCCAATCTATGAGGGAAAAGAAAGTAAATGCAAAATAACTGACTTAAAGCCAGTAGTCTCTGGATATATGAATTGTCTGGATTTCTTTCTGCCCCCCCTGCCTTATGTATATGTATTGAAATCTGGGGATAAATGAGGATTTATTAGTCAAATATTGTGGGCACACATCTAGTGAGGTACTCAGTCCATGGATTGACACACCTGTACAAATTTGTGCAGTATGAACAATACTCTGAAAAGTACTGGATGCCAACATGGTTCACAGCACCATCTTTACCTTTCATCACCACTGGCTGCATGACCAAAAGGATATAAGGAAAAGATAGCAAAAAAAGAGTGTCTTGAACTCGTTCAGACAAAACCTGTTGTTCTGTTAGAGGCTATGGGTGTTGCAGTATCACACGGTGCTTCTGTGGGCTTTTACTTTTGTAGCACCAAGTGGTTGCAGACTTCCCAGATGAGGAATTGGAGAATGTTTGTAATTCAAGAAAATATTTCAGCTTTCATTTCTCCTGGAGACATTTCACTGTTGAAAAAATCCCACATTGGCAGAAAGTAATAAAGTACTAAAACTGGAGATATTCCTACATTAGGAAATCCTGGACTGTGGCTTAAGCCAGATTTTATTTTATCTTGATTTTTCTACATCTTAGGTAAAACAAAGTATGTTCCCATTTCAGTATCCCTGTAATACACTGTTGACTATGAAGTGTCCCTGCTGAGGAAAAGAGTAAATCAAAGGAGCTCAAGGACAGACAGTATGTACATTTAGAGTTTAGTTCTGAGTGACTTCATGCTGAGAAACAGATTTTTTTTTTGGCCAGGAAGTGTGCCAGCATCTGTAAGGAAACCAGACAGTGGTGCTGGACCTCAGGATCAAGAAGGTGTTTAACTAGTCCAACATGCTGCATTATGAGTGTCCATCCAGGGCACCTCTAGGAGGACTGTCAGGAATGCTGCTTTTCGCAGATGGTACATCAATGTCAATGTCAAGAAGTAGCTTCCTGTGTTCTGCAACAAAGCAAGTGGTGTGAATGAACACGAAGGAGAGCTGCTGCTTGTCCAGCAGGCTCTGGTGGTCAGTACCATACAGATGTTTCACAGCTTGCAATTTGAGCAGCTGACCATCCCCTGTAGTACTTGGACTGTTGTGTTGGACACAACAAAGTAGCAAGAGTACTGAAAAGCCTACATTTATATAGAAACAACCCCATTCAGCATCTGCTCATAGTACGTGCAATTACTAAAATAAGTATTATTTGTCTTTTTCTCTCAGTCCTATGGATAGTGGGGTACTTCACAAATACAGAATTTGTAAATGTGTTTGATCATTTCCAGCTTCTCCTTCAGTTCCTTTGCATTTTTCTGTAAGAAAATGTGACCTAAATAACAGGCTTTATAAGATCCTCATCCCTATTTATTAAAAAAAGCATTAACATTCCATTGACTGACTAATATTCACTTCTCTCTGAGTGCATAGGTGAGGAACAGCATTTTATATTTATATCTTTGTAAAACAATCTTGTATTTCTTTGGTAAGTGATTATTTTGGAGTGCTTGTGTATAAGAACTAGTTATCCAATAATTTCAGGAACCAAGCATCTAAACAGATTCTGAGGAAGCTAGAGAGTAATACTTTACAGGAATGTGCCCAATCAGTTTGAGGCATTTTATTGCTCTGTGCCGGTCACGTTAGTAGGACTTGTGGATGTGGACATGGATCACCTCAAAGTCTCTATAATCACAGAAACCATGTAACCAACATGACATAGGCTTTTATGCCCATGTCACGTTAATTGTTTTCTGGTTGTTTCAAATACCAAGATATACAAATCCTTTCCTGTTTTGCAGTTGGCTCAAATGTGTCTCAAACTTCACCATCTTAAAACTTCAGGGGATCTGCTTACACCAATAGAAATGTGCACCACTGCACCACCTGTGGAAATTCATATTTGGAGCTGTACCTTTATTTGGCATAATATGGAGAGGTTATGATTGCAGTTGACATAAGTCAACTCATCAATTTCTTAACTGCTGTTCAGTTGCCATGGGAGTAGCACTTCCTAATGACACTGTCAACAATGGTAATTAATTAATGATAATCCATTCTGATTTCAGATATATGAATCAGATGAACTAAGATGAGGTTAGGTTTATATGTATACTCTACTCTGAAGAGTGGGCTTTTAAAATCTGTCTGTTTAGCAGTTGATGAATTTGGTTTCAGGCTAATTTGAGGGGACAGGCCAGAATCTTGTACTAGTTCATTGCAAATATAAATAGCTGAGTTAGCCAAAATTATGCAATATTTAAGGAATAATTGCTTAGTGAAATCAAGTGTGTTGGATGCCCCAAGTGGACATACATAGGGTAGCAGAACACTGAAGAACTGTCTGCCTGCACACTGGAAATGTGGAGGTATCCTGGCAGACAGCCTGAATTCCTGCATTCTAACAGTAGTATGAGATGATTTAAGTCCAGAATTTCATCTGTAGCCTTCCGAGAGCGCTGCTTATTCAGAGTAGTGAATCCTGAATCCTGTAAATTAGAAGGGCTCAGCATGGGATTAACATGATGGGGGTACTTGCAGCAATTTTACTGGTTCCTCATGAAAATAGAGTGGCTAGTTTAGTATTCCTGCTCTTGAAATATTACAGTCAATTGGTCTAAAAGTATTCAATTAAGGATAAACACTTGGATTATCTTCTTAGCCATCGTAGAATGGATAGCAATTCTCTATGAGAGAAACAGAGGTCGTGTGACAGTTGGTCTAAAAAATGTTGCCATATCACGTCTTTTTCCCCTTCCAAATACAAATCAGTTCTTCAACTTTACTTTTAATAACTGAAATGTTTAACAGCTGAAATAAAGCAAGTCTGAGCGGAAAAAGAACTACAGGATTATTTCAAGTACTTTTCTTGACATGCCTCACGAAGATGTTCTGTTGTTATTGTGGTGATAAGTAGAGGCATGAAAACTGAAATTGAACTGGTTAGAGACTGCCTCTCGCAAACTTTTTGCAGAGAGAAGGAAGTTATGCCTTGGATGATTGCTAGTGATAATTTGAGAGGGCTCTTTTAAGCCATTTGTAGCAATTTTGTGACACACATTGGTGAACAAAAGCTATTTGTCATTGAAACGAGGGAAAGAAGAAAGGGAATTTTTTAGGAATTGCATGAAGTACAGTAGATGACATTACTTCATTGTAAATTCATCCAGAAGAAGTCAGGAAACTGAAATCAAAGTTTTGAGGAGGTGCTTCAGTAGAGCTGATCCAACTTTCTCTGAAGTCAAAGGATCTTTCAATTGATCTGAGGAGAGCTGGGTCAGGTCAGTTTGAACTCTGGTTCTTTTTCAGACAATGAAAAGCTGAGAAGAGGCTTCCTAACAGTGAAAAAAAAATGTTAAATGGGCCTTCAAAAGAATGAAATGTTTAAAATCTTTCAGGAAAGCCAATGAAAGTGAGTAGTAATGGTCCCAATTTTCCAGAGAGATGATAAATTGCCTAAGATCCCATGGGACTTCTTCCTATCCTGTGTATTGGGTTTGCTGAAGAAAGGTCAACAAAAATGCTTAATACGCTAGTGCTGTGTTATTTTACAAAGGCCTGGAGTAAAATATAAATATCTTGCACGTAGCAAAGCTGTCTCTCTTGTACCATAAGGTAAAACCAGGCAAGGATTATGGTTTACTCTTTCTTTTCTATGTGAATGGAAAACCACAGACATTATTGACATTTATTGATGGGATAAATTTATCCTACCAGTTTTAATGCAGACAAGGTTAGAGCTGAGCTAAGGAACTGTAGGTTAGCATGAAAGAAGCAATAAACTTGTTCACAGAGCAGCAAAGAGATAGTGAATGAAATGCCTCTCTTACTCCATCTGCAATCTGGAGGTACTTCTGGATTAGGAGGGGTCAGCTAGGGAGCTTTAGCTGATGACACTTCTGTTTTTTTCTGTTTTCAGATATCTCAGCTTATGACAGAGACTAGTCGAGAGGGCTTGACTGAAGCAGCATTGAACCGCTACAATGCAGATAAACCCTCCCTGTACAGCTTCCCTGCTTCCCAGAGCACATATGTTGCCAGTGAAGTATCCACAGGCACCTCAGTGGCAGCATCATTTTTTGCCAGGTAAGAGAGATTTCTCAGATTTTCCTTCTCTGGAAACATAACTTCTTTCAAAGGAGGTGACTCTGTAGTGAAGAAGTGGGATTGACAGAGTACAGCATGCATGTCAAAAACATGGCTACAAATACGGACCTGTCACAGACTTTCAGGAATTACCACGAAAATATTGTTCAATCCACCTGTATGCATTTATCTGTAAAATGGGGGTAATACTGCTACCCTCTTCTGTAAAACATCTCTTCATGCTTGATTTGGGGTAAAATGGGACTGTGCTCCCCAAATAATATTTTAGCGACATTTTTAGGGCGGTGTATCCCTGAATGAGAAGGGCCCATCCAAGTAATTTTCTGAGATAGGCAATTAATTGTAGAGCTAACTGGATGTGGGTAGTTCTATTTGGTAGCAATCTTCAGACTTCTTTGTTGAATTTTACTTCCATATTGGGAAATTATCAAGATTTCCACTTTCAGGCTGAAAAATTAAGGTTTCTGATTTCAGCTCCTGTCCCTGTCACGTCATTAAATTGACCTGAGGGTCTAAATTCAGCCTTAGAACGCCCTTTCTGTTGAATATTCAGAAAATGTAAAAAAAAATATTGAGGTAAAATTTCATTAAAAAATCCTACAGCTATCTTTATCAATTTGTTAGTAAAAATGTTTTGTTAAATTGGCATAGCAGCTAGTAAGTGAAATATCAATTATCACCCATGGAAATATTTTTTTGTGCGGAAATACACTCTTTGCAGAACATAATCTCGTTAGCCCAGTTGAATCCTTATGTAACAAAAGACGTTGAAATAATCCTTGTCTTTTTATGCTTTTTATTAATTAACAGATTGACTTGGGAAGAGTTGTGAAAGTAATGAAATATCAAGAGAATAAGCTATTATTATAGCACTTCCAAACCAATCCAGTGAGAGATCTTGATTTCAAAACATGGAGTGAACTTTGAGTGAATGCCTCAAGCATTTTCAGATTAGTTTTCTTCCTTTGAGAGAGCCAAATTATTAGTAATTCCATATGATTCTATTTTATTTTAAAGGTAAATGGAAAATTTATGAAGTTGTTGGACTCCATAAATCTGGAAAGAATATCTGCGTCTCCTATTTTTCCTCACCAACATGAGGGCAACATATGTTCGATCAGTGTCACACAGCAAGGGAGTCATGTAAAAGGATTAAGAGTAGGATTTTAAAAGATCCAGTTGTTTGGGGCAGCTCTGCCATTTTTTTCTTTGCAGATGTGGTGCTGCAATAGCACGTGAATGATGAGAGGGGTTTGCTGCCCTTTTCTGTTTAACTGCAGGCAATTTAAATTAAAATTGCTGAATGTACACACATGGTAATATCTAACTGGTGTGCAGATTGGGATTAGCACATATTTTAGCGTGAATTGATTTATGAAGATGGCTTAACTCATTTGTTCTTCATTGTTTCACTGTTTATGCTGAGGGAATTCATTTACTTTTAGTATACTCTGCTGAAATGTAGGAAACTAATTAAATTTACTCAAAATCCCTGGTGTAAATCACATCATTTTAAGTAGAACTCTGTTAGCTTCTAGCTGATGATGTGAATTCTTGGGTATGCTTGGCCCTGCAGAGATCTCATGTTTAGGTTGTTTATTCTTAAACTCTACTTAGCAAGACAAAACCACCTGGTTTAGTTTGGGGTATTGCACAATTAGTGTAATATTACTTGTATAAGTCAGTTTTGTCCTGGACTTCAAGTTACGTCATCTGCTGGCAATTTAAGCAAATTCAAGTCAGTTACTCACTACTTGACCTTTTGACAAGAAAATCCCCAATTTTTTTTCAAAATGTGAATAATTATTTTTTGTTTTGCATCTTATGTGTCTGTTTACATTTTTTTAAAGTTGGGGTAAGAAGCATAAGAACCCACATGTATGTGTATTATAAAACATAAGGTAGAAGGCAGTGGTTGTCTAGCTCACTAAGATGCTGCCCTGTTTACAATGTGAAACAGTCCTTTGTACCAGGCCTATGAATTCCAAACTTTCGCTTTTTCTGATGGTTAGTGGCACATGGAGTAGTGACTAACCAACCATGTCCGTTTTTTTTGAGTTTGTGTCACATACAATGTTTACACAGTCAGTAAGTGAGAAATTATTACAAAGCCAGAGAAATTTGCTAATGCAAAGCTGAAGTTCGAAGTAGAAGAGTGGAACATATTCTTCTGAAATTTGAATAGTGTCCCACAGTATTTCAGTCTAAGTTCCTTAACAAGCAAAGCAAACCTCAGACGATGCTCACATAAAAGTAATTCATCATGAGGAAAAAACCCAATTAACTAAAATACCCTGGTACAGAGGAAATGTCAAGGCATCCATGGGAAATTTTGGTTGTAATTACTTGAGAAACATCAGGCGTGGCATACTGGGAGCTTATAATTTTTCTGTTCTCAGGCATTACTAGTCCAACAGTGATAGTCACTTGATTGGCCTACAGCTGGCATTGAGCCATGAAGAAGCATCCTGAGGCCATAGTGACTCTCAGGTTTTATAAAAAATAGGAGACTTATCAGGTATCTCAATAATTGACTGTTATATTTCATGATCTATAGCTGATAGATTTCCAAACCAGCTAAAAGGGCTGCAACTCTTGTGAATTGTCATTTGTTGGGATATTGCTGCAAGGGAACTTATGACACATCAGGATTCCTGGGGAACAGCATGTGAATGTTTTAAAGGAACAAACACTGAAAACTGTCCAAAGTGCTCAGCTGGTAGGCTTATGAATATTAGATGATACAGGTATGAATAATGAATTTCTAATGATGATTCTGACACGGAAACTGAATCCAATTAGTTGTGCTTTTAATGACAAGCACCAAATTTGCCTTTCTCTTCAGGGCTATCACTCATTTTTGTCTCAGATATGCTTCAATCATTCTGATTTAGCATCAACTTGCTTCTTAGTGGTACACATTTGTGATGAGAATAATTCACTTAGTGAATGTGAAATAACGTTAAGATTATTTACAGAAAAAGAATCATTTATAGAGCATTTTCAAATTTTTTTGCATGAATTAACTTTTGCCTCCAGTTTGGGTCTTTGTCACAAGGAGCACTGTATCTTTGGGCCATTACAGTCTAAGGTGTTCTAGCCTCTTGCCTTATGTCCTTCAAGCATGATGTAGGAGTGTGCCACCCCCAATCAGGAGATCAGTATATGCTGGTGCTGATGCTGCCAAAGAGCTGAGGGAGGGACCTTCTATTGCTTCTCTCCCTATTAGACAAGTTAGGCTCTGTGAAGCTCTAACAGGCCAATGGACATAGCACTGAATCTTATTCCTATCTAGGCTGGTTTCTACATAAAGAAAACTTCTGGGACTCTGACTTCAGCTTTGGCCTGACTACTCTGTAAACAAACCTGCTCTTCTGAATAAAACTCTCTTGTGACTGGGCTGTAGAATTTCAATAGTCTCTCAAAGGGTGATAGCATGATGCAGGAACTAGAAGTCAGAGCTAGACCAAAGCCTTTCAGTTGTCCTTTACAATGCCTAAGAGTTTTTGAGATCTTGGTACTGTTCCTTGTTTGCCCCATCACAGCAAGCTTGTTTTCTTGGAGAGGAGGAACTTTTATTGCGTCACGACAAGTGAGAAACATAAAGCCCATTTCACTTGGAGTGTAAAAGAAAGGTAACTTTTTGAGAAGGAGATATTTTTGAAGGTTAGTCTTGAAAGTTGTTTCCTGTTGCTCGTCAGGAAGTGTAACAGTATATTTTGAACAAAAGCCTGCCTCAATCTGAAATCAGATATGGTCATATTTGGATTAATTGAGCCTAATGGGAATATAGATAATCTTGAAAGTAGCCTGAAAAATCTGTTCTAGGGATCATTTTCCATGTCTTTATGCAGCTAAACACTAAGCAGGGCCACACAATGCTACTGTTGTAGATGTAGCAAGGCATGTTTTTCAGACAAAATGCAGAAATTTCCAAATTTTTAAAAAACTTCTTATTTTAAGACAAAATAGGAATAGAGAAACTTAGTGTCATGTATAACTGATGTGCAGCTACTCAGCATGGGATAAGCACTACTTACAGTTACCTGCATTCTTGGAAAAACTGTAGGTGACCCTTTCCACGCTCATTCCCCTGCCTGTGTGGTTTGGCAGCTGGAGAAGGAGGAGGTGAGGCAGTGCCTTACTGCCAAGGGTTACTGTGGATGTGTTCAAAATGCTGCTGAATGTTCCATAGATTTCCTTTCCCCTCCTGAGAATTCTTTTTGAATATTTTTTAAAATTCTCATGCATCTTACATGAGTTACAAAGCTTACATGAGGATGGTATTTGTGGGGCCTCATTTTAAAGCTGCTGTGCTGTTTTGATGACTTAACTCTCCAGAGACTCTGGAGTCTCATCTCTCCCTGTTTTTTGCATATATGTGGTAAACTTCTGTTCATCACACAACTTGTGTTGTTTGCTGGTTTTCCTTATAGGTGTTATATCATGTGACTTGTGTTGAAATTTAAAGTAAGGAGCTAGTCTGTACAATCTTTCTGTGTGTGTCTGTTTTAAAGCCCTAAGGAATCCAGGAACACCAAGGCTTTAATTCGTTAAAGGCTGTGTATTGTTTTAAATCAGCCATTCCATCTTAATGTCCTGGCTTCAGTTTTTCAGAGGTCCAGGGGAAGTTCACAAAACTGAACCTTTCCTGGCATTGCAACAGAGGATTTGTCAGAACATATGCAGGAACAACAGGTAAGAAACAGAGGCAGCAGCTAGTAGAGAAAGAAGTGAGTTGGAGGGGATATCCTTGTACCACAGAGTCCAGCTTTGGCTTGGGAAGCTCCACAGGAGAAACATTTGACTTGTGTCAGTACTCTGGCTGTAGCTGTTGGTGTAGCTGAAGCGTGACACCAGCAGATGTGAGAGCCAGGTCAGGAATCTGCTGTTGATATTCCTATAAATGGTGCAGGTGCACAGCAGGCTGTGCAGGTACACCCAGGGCATTGGTGCTGCTGAGGCCTGAGAGACCTCTC